TCACCCAACTGACCAAGAAGTCGGTGGTGTTTCGCTGGGGGCCTGAGCAGCAGGCAGCATTTGAGACCCTCAGGCAGAGATTGTGCGAGGCGCTGATTCTCACCCTGCCAGAAGGAGTAGAGGATTTTGTAGTCTACTGTGATGCTTCGATCACAGGTATGGGAGCAGTGTTGATGCAGCGAGGGCATGTGATAGCTTACGCCTCTAGACAGTTGAAGCCTCACGAGGCTAACTATCCGACGCATGACTTAGAGTTGGGGGCAGTAGTGTTTGCCCTCAAGATTTGGAGACATTACCTCTATGGGGTCCGCTGTATCATTTACACGGATCACAAGAGTTTGAGGTACCTCATGGATCAGCCGAATCTGAACATGAGGCATCGCCGATGGTTAGATGTGGTAAAGGACTACGATTGTGAGATCCTTTATCATCCGGGCAAGGCCAACGTAGTGGCCGACACCCTGAGCCGCAAGGCGGTAGCCGCCCCGATCAGGGATATTTGTCTGAGGATGACGATGATTACTCCATTGTTGGAGCAGATCAGAGAGGCACAGGTTGAGGGCCTGAAGGAGGAGAGACCGAAGTGTGAGAGGATTGTGGGCCGAGTAGCTTCCTTTGACTATGACAGTCGAGGATTGTTGACCCTTCATGGGAGAGTTTGGGTACCGTACTGGGGAGGAGTGCGGCAGGTACTGATGGATGAGGCCCACAAGTCTCGGTTTTCCATCCATCCAGGGGCGACGAAGATGTACAGAGATCTTCGACCTGACTATTGGTGGCCCTGCATGAAGCGGGACGTAGCTTGGTACGTGGAGAGATGCCTGACCTGCAGGAAGGTCAAGGCGGAGCATCAGAGACCCCACGGAAAGATGCAGCCGTTAGACATTCTCGTGTGGAAATGGGAGGATATCACCATGGATTTCATCACTAAGCTTCCCAGGACCGCACGTGGAGTTGATTCGATTTGGGTCATAGTGGATCGGCTGACCAAGAGCGCGCATTTCATACCGATTAAGGAGAAATATATCGGCCGAGAACCTAGCTGATATTTATGTGCGCGAGGTAGTGGCACGACATGGAGTGCCTGTCTCGGTGGTGTCAGACCGAGATGTCCGGTTTACCTCCAGATTTTGGAAGCGGTTTCATGACGAGATGGGTACTCGTCTCCATTTCAGCACCGCTTTCCACCCTCAGACGGATGGACAAAGCGAGAGGACGATTCAGACCCCCGAGGACATGCTTCGGGCATGTGTACTAGATTTCGGCGGCAGTTGATCCAGCAGTCATGGGGAGTACAGATGTGGTACTCAAGACCATAAAGTTGATCCAGCAGGTCCGTATTTGGAGTTTCAGGTGGGCGATATGGTCCTCCTGAAGGTATCACCCTAGAAGGGTGTTATCAGGTTCCGAAAGAGGGGCAAGCTGGGCCCCAGGTTCATTGGTCCTTTTAGGGTTTTGGCCCGAGTAGGTCGGGTCGCCTATCGGTTGGATCTTCCAGCAGAGCTTAGCCAGATCCACAACACTTTCCATGTTTCTCAGTTGAGGAAGTGTTTGGTGGACGAGTCAGCGGTTGTACCCTTGGAGGATATTCAGGTTGATAACAGCCTGAATTATATCGAGAGACCAGTTGCGATCTTGGATCGGAAGACGAAGACCTTGAGGAACAAGGTGGTTCAGTTAGTGAAGGTGCAGTGGTAGCACCGAAAGGGTTCGGAGTGGACGTGGGAGAACGAGGAGGAAATGAAGGAGTATTATCCAGAGCTGTTTACAGATTCAACAGCAGCAGACTTCGAGGACGAAGTCTAAGATAAGTGGGGGAGAGTTGTAACGCCCCATTTCTGGTATGTAATCTAAATCAAGTAAGTTTCATTTCTTAAGGGGTACTCGACGAGTCTGTAGCCCAACTCGTCGAGTAGAGACGGGATGTTCACGCATTTTAAGTTGGCTACTCGGCGAGTCCATATGAAGGGACTCGGCGAGTCTGCCTGTCTGGATGAAGCCATAATTTCAAGGGTTTGTACCCTATATAAACGTCATTATAGCCTCCCACCCCAGCCTCCAGCACCTTTAGAGCATTTCCCCTGTAAACCCTAGCCCCCATTGTTGAGCTTGAGTGTGTTTATGCTAGTTTGGAGGTTTTGGAAGAGAAAGAAAGAAGGAAGGATCCAAAGGAGAAGAAGAAGATCCAGAGTCTCTTGATCATCAGCCTCACATTCTGGTACTAAAGCTTGTACCTTGCTTGTTATTTCCATTTGATAGTCTTGTATGCTTAGATGTGCTTCTTTTTGGATCCAAACTCGAGATTGGGACTCCTATAAGGAAATGGATCATAGATCTGAGTATATTTGAGCTGTAGGAGCTCAAAGTAGCTGCCTTTATGCACCCAAGGTCGAGTTCCAAACCTTAAGACCCCATTCTTAGCTTATTTTGATGTTCTAGCCTCATTTCTTCATGCATGCACGTAAAGTTGGAAACTTTACGTGTAAAACCAACCCTAAGAGCCTAGATTTATGATTTGGAAGCACTGAAATCGATTAGAATCGACTGTATAGTAATAGCATGCTTGGGACTCGGCGAGTTGTTCTTCAGGCTCGACGAGTTGTTCTTACGACTCGGCGAGTCGCAGACTGGACGTGTTCATATGATGAAGGAGAACTCGACGAGTTGTTCATACAACTCGGCGAGTCGGATGAAGTTAGACTCGATTTATGTTTCGAAGAAGAACTCGTTGAGTCTTCGCCAAACTCGACGAGTAGAAAGCGAGTAGAGGACTAGAACGGATGAAAGGGACTCGGCGAGTTGACGGCCCAACTCGGCGAGTCCGGTCAACTGGAAGTTGACTTTGACCAGGAAGTTGACTTTGACCGGGGGTAAAATAGTCATTTCACCCTCAGTTTAGTTATCAATATTTGATTGAGTATATTTATGGGAATTATAGCCGGGGAGATACCGGAGCAGCAGCAGACAGTTCCCGAGTAGCTTTTTCAGCATCCAGCTTACGAGGTGAGTTTCCTTCCAGTAGGAACGGGTCTACGGCCACAATGCCGGCACGTTTAGTTAGCAATAGTTCCAGACTTCGGTCTGATGCAGTAGTTCAGTGTGCTTGATGTCTTTGTGATTCAAGTATGATTTTGTGTTATGTGTTCCGGATTTCGGTCCGATGCAGTATGTAGTATATGTGTTGATGCTAGTAGTTATGATTATGCTATGCTATGTTCAGTTAGTTCCGGACTTCGGTCCGATGCAGAGGGCAAGGCCCTGGTTAGTTCCGGACTTCGGTCCGATGCAGTTTCCGGACTTCGGTCTGATGCAGTGGGCACGACCCAGTAGTCGCTTTATATGTTACTATGTGGTATGTGGTAGATTGGGGGAACTCACTAAGCTTTGTGCTTACAGTTTCAGTTTTTGGTTTCAGGTACTTCCGCAAGTAAAGGGAAGAGCTCGGGATGATGGCATGGCACACACCACAGTTTCAGTTTTATCCTGGGAGTTTTATTCAGATATTTTGATATGATTGATACAGTATTTGTTTTTGACACAGTTACATGACTTTTGAGTTACTCATTTTATGGTTCTTAGTATGTATGACATTCGATGATGTGATTTTAGTAATATTAAAACAAAAACTTTTGGGTAGTATTTTTGGGTTGTTACAGGAGGGGAGCTCATATTTCATTTCGAATCTAAAAGATTAGATTGAAATTATTAATGGGGCTTAGTCATGGATATATGTATGAATGTAATGTTGAATTGTTTTCAACATTAGAAATTCTATATATATAAAGAAATGTTATAGCAAAAGACTGGTCTAGTATCATGTCTTTATGTAAGACATTATCGTATCTCATGTGCTTCGGATATATAATCGATTACATATGCTATAATATTCGATTGTTCTAATTTCCAAATACCTAAGGTATTAAGAGTAAAAAAGGACTAGAACAAGATATGACTGAAAGTTTCTGAAGTTCGTTGAAGATTGGTTGCTTATGGACAGTTGAAAATACAGTAATGGATGGACCATATTGACGTGATTCTTAATAGATAGGATTCTGTTAAGATTGGATGCCGCTGCATCGCAATAATATAGTATACTTTTACTTTCAAACCCAAAAAAAGAAATGTATTTTAATTTTAACACAAAATAATCGGGTGAAAGCAAATTCATGATCACCTTTCCAATAGTTAGATAGATGGGTGTGTGTGTGTGGGAGGGGGGGGGGTGGAGAAGTGAGAACTATCTATATATATATATATATATATATATATATATTATATATATATAATAGATGGGTGTGTGTGTGTGTGTCGGGGGTGGAGAAGTGAGAACTATATATATATATATATATATATATATATATATATATATATATATATATATATATATATCCAAATTGTTCCTTTTGATCAAATTTTACTGATATTTGAGTGGTAAACAGTTCAAATATTTCAAAAGAAAATCAAGATGGCCTTATATAAAAGAGTGTTCGTATGAATAATATATGTGATACAGTGATAGAATTTAAATTTATCTATTTAATCCTTAAACAACGTCTACATTTTAAAGTAAGTCCTTTTTAAAGTAAGTGCCATAATGTTTCTTTGTCAAATACTATTACTCTTTAATCATTAACGATTATTGAAAGTAATATAAGATATATATAGATATATATATATATATATATATATATATATATATTCTATTATAATATATAATATATTTTACTACACAAAATTCAAAATTTGCTATACATTTTCAAGACTTTGATTGTGAACCATACTAAAGTTTTTTTTATCTGGATCAAGTGTATATAACAGGAATCAAATTCATCATTTTGTTAGAAAACATATTTAATTATGTAAGGGACCGAAATCTTCATCTACACCAATAAATTGATTAAACCAATAATGAATAACCATATAAGATTTTAAATATGTAAAAATAAAAATAAAAAAGACATACTATTACTGCTCCTAAATTTACCCTCTCCGTACATTCTTCACTTTTTTGCTTCTTCTTTTGCTGGGTTTGGCTCCTCTTTTGGCGGTGCTGCTGCTGCTGCCGGCGGCGGTGCTGCAGTTGAAATGCCGGCATCAATACAGCTTCTGCATCTACTCTCAATACATCCTTCAACTTCATGGTCTCCTCCATTCCCACCATAATGCGTTCCTCCACATAGCCGTGCTATGAACCCTGCAATCACGGCGACGATGGTTATCACTGCCAGCACCACCACCAGCGTCTCGATTGACCGGTTTGCTGAATGGCTCTGCCCCACAGCCACCGGTGGTGGCTCCACCAGAGGCGGTAGCTGATCATCATCCCCACTATCCATCCTCATCAGTCTAAACGTTACCATCACCATGACCAAGCAAAATGTTCGTGTGTGTGTGAAAGAGAGAGAGAGGAAGAGAGAGCTAACGACAATGTTTTAACTTTAAGGTTAGTGGGTGGGTGGGTGATAAAAGGTGTTGACTGCCTTACTATTGAATTACAATCTGAACCCTGTACTATCATTAAAAATATCTTTTTTAAAAATTTAACAATAAGAATTTTAACAGCAAAATCATCAAGGTTGAGATGGAGCTTGTCTGGCGTGGCAAACACTATCGCTTTCCCTTCGTATTGTGGCATCAAGCCTCTACACTCCCTTGTCATTTTCTTTATCTTTTCATTTCTTCAGTTTCTTGCTACTCTTTTTCTCTTTTTCTTTATGGATGCATGATTCGTGACATTCATTAAATTCGTGAAGTTCTTTTATGACATATTCTCGCAGTTTAGCATTACTCTTCCATGCATAACTAAACGAACTACCCAAGGTATTTGCAAAGTCATTTCCTTTGTGAAGTGTCCTATATTTTAAAACACTCATCATACGACTTGTTTGAAATGGTAAAATAAACATCTCAGATATAATTTTTAAAATTATCTAAGTAAAACCGGAAGTCCAAATTCATAAAACATTTTTTAATTCGTGAAGAATTACAAAACTTAGTCCTAAATATTTCAAAATCAAGTCTTCTAAAAAACTACTTCTTACTCTAATATTCAATATTGGAAACACTAACTTGAGCACATGTCAAAGAAATACATTATGTGTATATAAGTGTCATAGAGTTAGACATCATATTAAAAATGGGTTTACGACTGCATACTACAACTCCTCGCTTTTGCAAGGATATGGGAGAGGGCTAGTCCTTCGGGCAGTATGCTAAGACATATAAATACATCATATATTTTTCCTGACCAACTCTTAATTGAAACCTTTAGAGCTCGAACAAACTTGGACACTAAACCTACCATGCATATGGAAAGACAATGCCTTTAATTACCTGGTAGGCCACCATGTAGTTTGTTAGAGTTAGACATTATATTAATATATATGTAAAGCATGGAATACAAGCTCGAACACTAAAATATTTAAGTAAATAAGACAATGTAAATAAAAAAAATGCAATGTAAAACATGGAACCCATGTTTCACCTAAGTTTTCTACTCTTATAGTTCAATTCCTATGTCTCATTGTCACATAAATTTTCTTTTAGCTCTCCACCGGAATTATGGTTAATAACATACTCTATTTTCCCCATCTCTCAAAGAAACTCCTTGACTTCTTTAAGGAATAATGGTTGTTATTATACTTTATCTCATTTCCACATCTCTCAAGGAATTCATATGACATCTCCAAGGATATATTGTTAACACCGTAACTTATCTTATTTTTTCTATCTCTCGAGGATTTCCTTGATCTCTGTGACATTTAAGTCACATGTAATATAATTATAAGACAACTTGGTAAAGTCTTTTAAACAGCCATTTATTGTAACTTTAACATGCCTCCTTCATTAGAATAATATGTAATTAAATACTTGTCAATTAAATTTAGATTCTGCATTAACATCATTTATAGTTAAAAGTATAATGACATAAGAGAATAAATGTTAAAATTACTAAGTACTCACATTAAGTGTATAGCAAATTAATCCAAAAGCTCTACTAGGTGAATGGAAGATTAAGAAATACATACACATATTTAATAAACCATAAATCCTCACTAATTGATCTCAAATTTACTAATTATGATCACCAGTCTCAAGTATATCCTTAATAATCTTAGATTGCCAGCATAAAACCAAAGGGAGCAACCAAATGACCACCAAACTTAAACATAAGAAGTGATACATTTTATGTGACAATTGTCAAAAATTGATCAACGATCGTCAATGCAAACACACCGAACATCAATGAAACGACCTAATGTATAATGTTTGATCATTTTTAAATGAAAGTACAATATTATATATTAAATATATAAGAAAAATCAACCAAATCGTCCGGAAATTATAAATATAGACCTACAAAAAGTTGTGTTATTATATATAAAGTACACGTCGTCACGATCTCGAGTATGTAAAGAACGCAAAAATTTGACTTCGTATGAGAAAGTTATGATTTTTCTAAATTTTAAAATCAACGCTGTGCAGAATCGTAGTACTCCTCAATACAAAACCGATGAGACAATGAATGTTGAAAACGGAGTCCGTATGAGAGGCTTATGATTTTTGCAAAACTATTTTGGGTACACCCCTTATAAAAATATGAGCTAAAAATAAAGTTTGAAGTAGCTAAAACAATCTAAAGGGAAGTTGTAGTACACGTCGATAGGAACGCGTGAATGTAAAGAACGTTGAAAATGAAGCTCGTATGCAAAAGTTATGAATTTTTGAAAATCTGAGATTTTACCCGGTAGATGATGACGTGGCGGCTCGAGAGTAAGAGATACAAAAGATCGGGTAGCCCCTGAATCGACCAGAACACAAGCACTCATACCATTGACTAAGAAAGTCACTATACATGATCAGATAAAACGTAAGCATAAACAAAAAAAAGCAGTAAAAGATATGGTAGAGATACATACCGATAACTACATCAGGTGTTGCCGTGAATCCTCGGCCGTCAGTTGTAAAACCCTACTCTTCACCACAGGAGTTGCCGCCTTGCCCTGGCGGCCATCACTAATCCTCAAAGTGGTTGGTGCATGCGCCGCCACTATTCCTCCGGTCAGTCTCGAGCAATCAGCCTTTTTATGGCTTGTCTGATTGCAGTGGAAATATATCAGTTCTCTACGAGCGAAATCCTTGATGAAGTGACACGATTGTCCGCAATTAAATCAGCCCCCTCCCTTCTCGCGACAACTCCCCTCGTGAGACCTCCTACATTTGGCACAACGACCCCGGCCCTGATGACCTCTCGATCGCGAGTCAGCAGTCTTTGGCCTCTTTTCCTGGCCCTCCGATGTTTGTATCCATACTAGTCTCCGTGACCTTAGAAGCTCCAAATCAATCTTCCATTTCCGGGCTCTAGCAATCATATCCTCAAGGGTCTTGCACCCCGACAAGCTAACAAACTCTCTAATATCATCTCTCAGCATATCATGGTACCTTGTCTTCTTCATCTCCTCATCCACATTGTACTACAGGACCAATAGAGCTCTCTCCCGGAACTTGGCGGTGAACTCCGCCACAGTCTTCGTAGTCTAGCGAAGGTCCTGAAACTCTATCGCCAACGGCTACACTTTGTGATGGGTTTTGAGCATAACATCAATCCTATGGTGTTCATGCAACCATAATTGCTTTGATCTAGGTTTTTCTAATTTGAACATACAACATTGAATACCAAAGCAATAACCCTATTCTAACATACAAATATCGAAATTGACATATGAATAAGGTTAGAAACATTAACTTGATTGTTATGTAGCAATAACAATCACAATCCTTCTTGATCTTGACTTCTGAAAGCTTAGTGCCTCAAATGTTGCACCTCTAATGGAGTCACAAACACCACTAGCAACAAGGAAGAACAAGAGAGAGAGGAGAGGCTTAAAAAACGTCTAGGGTTCTCTTAGAACTCATTGGCACGAATTTGGGGAGCCTTGGGGTTCCTTTTATAGTTGAGGCTTCTAGGGTTATTGTAACGCCCGCAGATTCGGGCTAGTCAATTTAGAGACAATAAGCATCAAAAATGAGTTTTTGATGGAAGATTATTTAGAAGGAGTAATCTTAAAAAAATGGTAGTATATCTTACAAGGGTTCTGTACATATAAAGAACGTCGAAATCCGAGTTATAACGAAGAAATTATGCCACGTCGAAGTTTTACGGCAAAACTGGCACGACACCGGGAGACGTAAATAGTGAATTTACGATAGAGGACTTTTTGGCCTTAGTAATCTAAACGAAAGTCGTAGAATATGTTAAATCGGGAGCGTCCATAAAAAGAACGTCCAAATATGACTTCGTATGAGGAAGTTATGAATTTTCTAAGATTTGGCATAGAAGTGCACGACCCGAAACTCGAATTTTAGATCGGGCGGTTTTTGGCCTACACGACCTAAATGAGAGTTGAAGATCTCATTAATAGGAACTCAACGATAAAAATACAGACGAAAACGGAGTCCTTATGAACGAGTTACGAGTTTTTCGCGGTCATTTAACAATATAATCTCCTCCTACTGTTAAATTTAAGATCGGTCGAGAATTAGCCGACGGAGTCAAAATGAAAGTTGTAGATATTATTTTTACCTACGCGTGGATATAAAGAACGTAAAAACGGAGCTCGTATGCGAAATTTACGGATTTTAGAAGTCGGAAGTGTGTTGTGCGAAAATGGGTGACATGACACAATCTTGGCCATTGCTTTCTCCCCAAGTCTTGCCACCAGATGATGACATGTGGCACCAAGTTCAACCATATTTCACCCTATAAATAGAATCTCTCCCACCCTCATTTTATTCACATCTTTCCCATTCTTTCTTCTCTCTACACTCTCTCTAAACCTCCCAAAACTCCCCTAGCGCTAGAAGAAAGCCCCGAAGCGCTCGACGGCTCCGAAAAGAAGAGCTTTCGGCTCGGAAGTTCTGCCCTTGCAGAGCTCGGCTTTTAGCCAAACCCCCTCGTAGGTAAGATACGTCTACGCTATTTTAAATATAAGTATCGTTATAATATCTTTTTAACCACTCGCGGTACGGGGAATCCGGTTTGAAGAGCCGCCTGGGTTGTTGGATTTCAGAAGTGCTATATGCCAAAATGATTCTGCCCTCCGGTGTTTTATGACTGGCCCCTGTCTGTACATAGTGGTTGGAAAATATTATTTAAACGCTTATATAATAATAATAATAATAATAATAATAATAATAATAATAATAATAATAAGACTAATAATTAGTCATGGTAAATATTAGACTAAAATCTAGTGGTAATAATACTAGGTTTCGTCGAAGGAAATTATTTTAAAGTAAATAAAGAGCTGTCCGAGTATCGAGTCACCACCTTATCAAGTGAGTGCATAGTTACTTTCATCTTACA